TCTCTAAGAGTGTTTTCTTCATCGCTTTCCCATGGAAACTTAAGCAGCTCTGTCCTTTGTCCCCTTCACTTATTCGTAGTATCAAAATAATCTGCAGGTTATTAAACTAATTTTCCTGAGTTCACTCTAGACTTCCTTCTCCTGTAGAGATGAAAAATATCAAGATATCTCTCTGCATTTATTGGAATTAAGCCATCAATTCAAATTCAGTATGGTATAAGACAGATCCCAGTCTTTCCTTCCAAACCTTCTTCCTATTTCCTTACTCTCTGCAGAGAGAAACATCTTCATGCTTTCTGCTACTCAGCACTGATCTCTCCCTCGGTCATCACACACAGATAGTGTAGATACTGTGCATTGATTCTGTACATAACAAGTTTGAGACAGTAATTTTGCTGTTTATCCATGGCTAAAACTCTCATATAAACTTTATTTTGGGTCTGAACTCTAAAATTCTTTTTTTTCTGAAATCTATCAATACAGTATAGTACTGCTGTTATCCACTCAGGATGCTCTTGCACCTTTTTTTTATTATCTACAGCAAAAGGTGCTAATTTTGAATGACCTTTTCAGCTTAACCACAGCCTCTTCTCATTTCTCATTTGCTTCTGAAGTGTCCATTATGAATAGATGGGTTTCCCCATTCTTCAAATGTCTTTTTTTTTGTCCTTACTGTCACTGGCTAAACAGTAGAAGGATCAGATTGTTTTCTGTAACACCATGTACTTGTTTACACCAGAGAAATGAACTACTGAAAAATTAAATGTCATAACTAAGTGCTTACAGGAACTGAGATTTCTGAAGCTGCAAACAGAAACAAGCATTACTTGAGATAGACACATTTTCTTAGAGATTTATTTCAGCTGATGTTTTACATCTTACTTTTATTTGGGGTAGAAGAACAAAAAATCCCACAATAAAATAACACCTCTGTCCTCACTCAATTCCCTCTGACTTTTCCACAGTTGAGTCCTCCCTTTTATATATTTCCCACCATCTTCTGTCTCTTTAACTCCTCTTTTTCCATTTTCATTGCAGTTCTTGGGACAAGTTCCAAGTGTAGCATTTTTTAAACATTATTTTACTCCAAAAAAAATTCTTCCCTGTGTGTTTCTATAGTCAGACAATTCATTTCAATAGAATATTGAGATTTATTCCATTCTTCTACAGTGAGGTGATTTTGGAACAGTAGCAACTTTAAAAGAATAAGAACAGAAAGAAACAGGAAAGTAAATATCATGAGGGAACAAATCAAACATGAATGTATCTGAAGCTTAAAAAGTTGAGATTGATTTGCTGTTTAGTCTCTTCTAATTGCAGTATGTATACATGTACTGGTTTAAAAGTTAACCAGCAGGGGAAATGAACTCAACTCAAAAGA